GTAACAAAGGCTAAACAGCAGCTACACATCAGCATAATACAAGCACTTTACAAAGCTCTGCCTACAGAGAGTTTAACAAACACTACCTGCATTGGCTGCTTGGTGACTGCACAATAAAAGTATGCCTTTGTAATTCGCGTTTAACACGTTCTCGTATAAGTGAGCATTTTATTGTTTTGACCTTTCCATTTATCCACATTAAGTATTGTCTCCACATCTCTAAGCTAGCACTATGAAGATTGAAGCCTCACTGATGATGTGTACGGGTGATTAGCAGCAGCTCTCAAAGCTCTTGCAGTTGTTCAGGGATTTTGGGTTCAGTCACTTGCTTGCTCAAGTTACAGAGAATAGCCAGCATAAGTCAGTGGCATGATTGCTAAAATGAACGCGACAGCAAAGATTCCACCTGGCACTGTATCAGATTTACATTTTCAGACAGTGATTTTTATTTTTGTTTATGTATTTTTTATATATAGTATTGTGCATGCCTGTCTAAACCAGGCCTGCATGGACATACTTCTACTACAGTTTAGGATTTCTCTAATTAGCGCCAATTGTAGCCGGTTGTGTATTTCCAAGGAGTACGCTAATTATTATCTGCAGTTTTTAGCTGAATGTAAGCAAGGGAGTATTAAAAACCATCCGCTGCATGTGTTTGTATACATCTTTTTATGTGTCTATATTAGGATTCTCTGGGTTTTTGACTAAACTGAGAACTGGAGTAAATTGATCATGAAATTCCACGTGTCAAGCCTAAATAGCTACATTTAAAAAATTTTTACAGTTTGGCTATTTTCTCCTAAAATGTAAATATTCCTAAAAATTCCCTGGTTTTCTGCCAACAATTTCTGGTTTACAAAATAGCCATTTAAATGTGTGGGTGTGTTTGCTAAATAACAAATTTTGGTGAATTTAAAATTACATTTAGGAAAAATGATTTGGAAAACGTCTTCAATTTATTTATAGTCCTAACTTTCATTTTAACCTAACTATTTTAAGCTAAATTATGCAATTTGGTTTTCAATTTACTTTCACCAAGGGTTGCTGTCGGATCTACGTTGTGTTCCTGGACACAGATCTATGCTAGTGAGAAGCACATTGAAGTGCTGCCCTTCAATGTGAAGAATTCATAAACCACAGGACGGAATTCGATTAAATAATCAAGGAGGAATCCCAAGTAGAGTATATTTGTTGATACATTCCCTCTTGCAATATATGAAACATACATATTGAAAACCCACAATTTTATGTACTGCACAAAATAATGTTAAGTGTTCAGGAAGGCATTATGGATTTGGCAACCCTAGCATATTCCCATATGTATATATAATTTAATAATGTACTGGATCCATTAGAAATGTTGAGAATATTTCAAATTATGTCCCCCGATTTAATATTTTTGTATAAGTTTTTCAAATGATTTAAGATTTTTGGCTAAACTTTTAAAATGATTTAATATGTTTAAAAACGTTTTAATATTGTAATATTTTGATATTTTTGATATATTGATATTTCTTTTATTTGTAGTCGGGAACAATAAGCTTAGTTGTAGTAGTGGTAGTATAAGTCAGTTGTGGTGTGCCAAAACTGACGTTTGGCTAGGCCTGTAAAAGAGGGCCCACTAAGTGAATGCTTAATAAAGCGAGTGGTGGGTGGGCTGAACCAAGAGGTCTCAGTCCAGTGGAAGGGGTGGTCTATGAATTTATAGGCCGGGTAACCCTTCCCACAGCTACAGGCTCTGCCTTTCCATATATGATTTTTTAAAATATTTTAATATTTTGAAAAAAAAATAAAAAATTCAAAGCTTATCTAGACATATTACATCATTTGAAAAGTTTATCCAAAATATAAAATCTGGGCCTATATCATAATAAGACAATAAAATCAAAACAAGAAGTGTGTATAAATAGTGAGAGACTCTGGTTAGTTTACACATTAGGGTTTATTTGCTAAAAACTGAATTGTAGTGAATTGAAATTTAAATTGCAGGATTTAATAACCAAGTATGGCAGAACAAAATACATGTTAAATGAGATTGCTATCTATTGTCTTATCATTATTATTTTAATGTTTATTCTGAACTAAATTCTGTACATTTCGTGTCTTTATCAACTTTAGTAAATAAACTTTTTACATTAAATTCATTGTGTAATGTGTTTATAAAGGGATAATTTGTTGCTATATTAAATGGCTCGTGGGGGATGAAGGAAGAAAAGCCTGTAACTCGGGACTGGATCGAATTCACTTGCCACCTGTTGTGTTATATATTTCTGTAACACAGCCATGGACAGGTGGGAACATATAAAGTAAAGGAACCAGCAGCTGCTTCTGTGTTTCTGTAAAGTAGTGCTTGATCTATGTATCTCTGTTTCCTAAGGAATTGTTTGCAGTGAATCTACTGTCATGTATTTCATGAAGATCTTTTGTCTTTGTAGTGGTTATATCCTCAAATCAGGATTGTTGGCTACAAGTCTTCAGATCAAATCTTATCTAATCTAATACTTGAAGAGCATGCCCAAATGAACAGGCTATGAGAAAATCATTGACCGTATCGCCAGGCATCATACACTGAATGAAAATAATGTATTGATTCCTTTGTAAACCTAGGAAATGTATTTATAGGGTTACTAAGGAAAGTGTGAAATTCAAAATGAATTTCAAATTTTAGGCCAAAAAAGTGTAGCTAGAAGGATTGCTGACTCAGAGAATTTTTCCATTTAATAACCCTGCAAGTGTTTAGTTCACTGATTTCCTAATCTTATTGAACTGGACCTTTTGGGATATATATATATATATATATTTTACCTTTTTGAAATTTTAAAAATTGCAAAGCTGCTGAGGGGCTTCTGAATATAGTGTTACTGATTAAATTCTTGCAATTAAAGGGGCATTCTAATATAAATAATTAAAAATGTTTCTCTATAAAGTTACATAAATGAACCAAGACTAATTATAATTAAAGTCCCTATTAAACTTAATGTAGTCCTGTGTCAGGACAGACTACTTACTGCAGCCCAGTATGAATACGGTGAATGTAGAGTTTTCTGCAGAGTCTGTTAATTCACTACATCCCTAGCTGGGGCATGTAAAGGTAACTCTCGGGCCTAATTCTCTGTGGTAGAAGTCCTACTGCTACTGGGGCTGGCTAGGGCTGGACAGAGAGGCACAAATCCTGTTAACTTGTTTACCTTAATTTAGGGCTTTATCCAGCTCTCCTAACAATGTATTTAAACCCTGGCAGCCAGATTATATGCTGACCCTCCTCACAGTGGAGCAATGGAGACCTGTGCTGCTACCTTAATAATAATTCACGTCTGGTATGCATTGTTAAGTGTGATACAACTAAAGGATATTCCCACACTCTATCAGGCTTCCCACTGAGCACTGGAAGTGCAATATCAGAGCCGGCAGCTTTCACACAACATCTCTACTGAGGTAGAGCAGCAAACCAGACACTCTGATACCTGTAAAAAGCACAGACATGCCAGGAAGCTGCAGGCTGGATCTGCCAAAAATGTTCTGCTCCCACAGCTCTAAGTGAAAGTATAATGGATTGCCTTCCCACAAACTTCTAACACATTTTCATAGCCCCAAGGAGAAAAATTTATCCACATTCAAGACAAAGCAATTACCCTGACTCTTATACTTTTGGTTCTAAGACAGATCAACATTGTTCCAGATTTCCACATTATCCAGACTATATCAGCATTAATAGGCAATCTGTTTGTTTTGTCTTGAATGTGAATATATTTTTCTCTTTGTGAATTACCAGGGGTTAAGCCCCAGACACCACTGGCGTGTCATTTTGGTGACCATATTTAAGTTGAGAGGATCTGCAGTCGCAGACTATCCCAACTTTTATATCTCTCTCTTCATTTACATAGCCCTAAATGCATAATGTCAGCAGTTTATTGAATCTCGATAAGCCTTTTATCAGTTTGGAATTATTTAAATACTGCCATGAAAGGTTCATCATAAGCTAATAAATATCACTTCAAATACAAAATCTGATATCTATATTTTACACAGAAAATATTGGATTTGGTGATTCAATACCATTTATCGAGGACATAATTCTCGATTTTTGATAAAATGATTTTTGATAGAATGATTTTTGTTTTATTTTTTTCCTTGCAGGCAGAACTAGCAGCCAGCAGACAAATGTTTAAAGGGATACTATAGTCACCTGGACTACTTCACCTTATTGAAGTGGTCTGGGGTGCAGTGTTCATGTCCTCTTAACCTTGCAATCCAAAACATTGCTGTTTTAACCCCTTAAGGACTGGACTGTTTTTGCGATGTTGTACATTTGCGACCAGGCATATTTTTACACTTTTGTGGTGTTTGTGTTTGGCTGTAATTTTTCGCTTTCTGATTTACTGTTCCCGTACAAATTATATATTGTTTTTTTTCAGGACAAAAGGGGCTTTCTTTACATACCATTATTTATATAATCTCATGTATTTTAATTTAAAAAAAAATTTAAAAATGGGGGCGTGGCCGACCGCCGAGCAACCTGGCAGCCTAGGAAATTGCTCCGGCACCCAGGCTCCAGCAATCCGACGACATCGTCTCCCAGGGCTTAGAAAACCCTCAACACACACGAAATGGCGAACCCCAAAGGGAAGAAGAGCACGCAGAAGGCTGAAACCTTAATTTCTTCAACCACAAAACTGCGAGCGGCTCTGAAACCGACCGCGGCACAATCCAAGATGGCGCCGACGAACAAACGGCGGGAAACATCCCACTCACGGGCGCATATCAAGATAACCAGGACAACCTAACTAAGGCACACCTGGATGCAGCGATGGAAGCCATGGCCAACAAACTTATACAAACATGGCAATCCTCCATAGGACAACTCCGCAAGGAAGTCCAGGACATAGGCCAGCGAACCACACACATGGAAAATAAGTTGAGCGAGTATGCAACAGCGCACAACGACATGGCCGACCATGTAGCGCGGCTGGAACAAAAAAATCTAAACAATGGAAGCGCGTATGGCTGACGCTGAAGACCGCTCGCGGAGAAACAACCTCCGGCTACGAGGAGTCCCGGAGAGCGTTATGCCTAATGACCTACCAGCCTATGTGCAAGGCCTTCTGAGGGCGTACGCTCCGGACATCCCCACGGATATGTTCCTAATAGACCGGGTACACAGGGTGCCCAAACCACGCAATCTGCCTGGCACTATCCCTCGTGACGTCCTACTAAGGGCACACTACTACCACATAAAAGAGGCAGTACTGCGCGCTAGCAGAACCCGCTCAGAACCACATGAAAACTATGCCACGATCAAGATCCTAGCAGACCTGTCCGCGGCGACTCTCAAGCGCAGGAGAGATTTCCAACCGGTGACAGAAGAATTACGTCGTGCGGGAATGAGGTACCGCTGGGGATACCCCACTAAACTCCTAATTACAAAAAATGGCGAGATCAACGTGGCCTCCACGCCGGACGAAGGCACCCGACTATTGAGAGACTGGGGGCTCCTTACAAACCCCCCCCCCACAACTCAAGCAAGTCCAGCAAGACGTCTGACACCAGAATGGCGCCAGGCCTCAACACAGAACAAATCGCCATGATCCACCCGAAGGACTAGGCCGTCCAGGCCATAACCAGGGACACGTGAGATATTAATATGTACTGCTAATTGCTATCACAAGTTTAGTTTAAGTTTTTTCATGGATCAATTGCTTTGATTAGCATTTTATTTACCACACAATTATACCACACTCTGCATGGTTTGTTGGGTATGGGCGGGTGGGGTGCCCCCATGGGCGATAACCAGAGCAAACTTCGGGCAACAAGGAAGGGCGGCATGGTATAGGCAAAGAAAAGACCAGTAGTCAGAGGTGATCCTAATATCTAAATGTTAACTACAATGTTGAGATTATGCATACATAAGAATGGTATTCCAAGAATGTACAAAGGTGCGCAATGATTATGTAAATCACTGGGACACTGTACATAGAGAGATAATTGTACACCACACCATATAAACCACTATCGTTTTAACGAGTAGGTCAAGCCCACTACAACCGCACCGCCCCGCCTCACTACGTAGACTGGCTCACCACACCCACAAGCTACGATGGGAGAACCACACCCCACCATAAAGACCGACCCGACAAGTGAGATACCCACGACAGGCACCAAAGCGGTGACCTACACACTGCCCCGCTAAACCTTCCCTTGGGTCAGGCTTGATTTTTTTTCACCCATGCCCACATTCCAGCATTGAGAATGCCACACACAATATCTAGGTCGCTATTGACTTATAGCTCTGAGGAGAGACAGCAACTATGTACACAAGGGAGCCCAACGGCCACAATACTAGAGACGCTGTTTCAGCGTTCCTCCCCCATGGCACAATGCCACTGTGCCAAGACCCACGTTTGGGTCAAATTGTATATACTTTGGTTTCTTTTACCCCTTCCCCCTGTCATTCCTGAACCTCCCACCCCCGGGCGCAATAACGTAGTCGCACAGGCGCCGTCTAAGCGGTGCACCATACGAACCCTGTCACATCTGCAACTCCATATAGGCATAGCAGAACTGCAAACGAGCACCCTTTATCACCCACCCATCACATGAAAATATACTCACACAATTGCAGGGGACTGAACACCCCACATAAAAGGCGCATGATGCTGGAGGAAGCCAAACAGACTCAGGCGGACATTATCTGTCTACAAGAGACCCATTTTGTTACATCTAGGGTGCCTAACTTTGGCGCACAACATTACCCTCACCAATATCACGCAACTCACTCCTCCAAATCGAGAGGGGCCTCAATCCTTCTCCATTCCTCCTTAACAGTTGAAGCCCTAAACCTAATTAAGGACAAACAAGGAAGATTTGTAATGCTACATTGTCTCCTAAATAACCTGCCATATATCATAGTCAGCTTCTATGCTCCTAACGTACACCAACGCTCCTTCCTACGTAAGGTGCTCTCTACACTCCCACCTAACCAGACTGCCCCACTTATATTATGTGGAGATCTAAACCACCCTCTTGACCCACACATGGACACCACACTAAACACCACGACACCGAGGCACAAAGCACTCAAAGCACAAAGTAAAGCAATCAATACACTGCTAGGGGAATATGGCCTATACGACCCTTGGAGAGCCTTCCATCCTAATGAGAAAACGTTCACGTTCTATTCAGCAGTGCATAAATCATATTCACGGATAGACTTCATTTTCATAACAGGTACATTGCTTCCCAGAGTAATAAACAGCGAAATCGGGGACATAACATGGTCAGACCATGCCCCGACCATAGTAGGGCTGACTGAGGAATACCAACATAGGGGAAGGCCACCGTGGCGGCTCAATGATTCCCTCCTACGTGACCAGACATTCACTACAACATTAAAAGAAGCCCTGACATCATATTTCCAAACTAACGATACGCCGGATGTCCAACCAACCACTGTATGGCAAGCCCATAAAGCGGTCATCAGAGGACTCCTCATCAGCAGAGCCTCCTATTTAAAAAAGAAAGCACAACAAGAACACTTACACCTGCTGCGTACTTTAAGAGACGCAACAGCGGCAAACATAGCAGACCCATCACCACAACTAGCACAGACAATTCAAGACACCACAACGAGTATTAACAACATGGCAATTTCTAAAACAGCACACATTTTACATAAGCTGAAACAAACAACCTACTCACAAGGAAACAAAGCAGGCAGGAATCTAGCGACTTTACTACGTCAAAAACAATCCAACGCAAAAATCCCCTATCTGCTCACATCCCAAGGCTCTAAAATCCACAACCCACAGGATATTAATGATACTATGGCAGACTATTACCACTCATTATACAACCTCAAAGAAGACCCCACATTACATCAACCCACATCCCAGGAAATTCAAAATTTACTTGGACAGCTCTCGCTGCCAACACTGACGGAACATCAGAAAACTATCCTACAACACCCAGTCACACAAGAAGAAATACAACAAGCTATACACTCACTCCCCCATGGCAAATCACCGGGACCCGACGGACTCACAAACTCCTATTACAAGACAATGACCACAATCCTGACTCCATATCTGGACAAAACCTTTAACCATATCCTCACGACGGGCCAAGTGCCCCAAGACATGCTCATGGCACATGTGGCTACATTGCCAAAACCAGGCAAACCACCTAACAAATGCCAAAATCTACGACCAATCTCCCTCCTTAACACGGACATCAAATTACTGGCAAAAATTTTCTCTAACAGACTGACGAACATTATCCCGACCTTAATACATGAGGACCAGGTGGGATTTGTTAGTGGTAGGCAAGGAGCGGACGGAACCCGAAAGATCTTGGACCTACTACAGGAGGGAAGCGGAGGGGGGGCTCAGTGCGTTATGCTGTCACTTGACGCTGAAAAAGCCTTCGACAGATTGCACAGGCCCTTCCTCCAAGCTGTTCTGATCAAATATGGCTTCCCAGACACTTTCCTACGGTTAATAAGGGCATTATACTCTAAACCGACAGCGAAAGTCACCAATGGGGGCTTTAGCTCTAAACAATTCCACATAACCAATGGGTCACGACAGGGCTGCCCACTATCGCCTCTCCTTTATATTCTCTCGCTAGAACCTCTCACGCAACTCATTAGGGACAACCCAAACATACACGGCATTATGAGACAAGGCAAGGAACATAAACTCACACTTTTCGCAGACGACATCCTCTTAACACTCGAGCAACCACACATATCCCTACCTAACTTCCACGATACGCTCACCCAATATAGCAAGTGTTCCTATTACAAACTTAATATAAATAAAACCCAAGCAATGGGCATAAATATCCCGATGGAGGTCTTGGATAGGCTGCGTATCTCTTTTAAATACGACTGGCGAAACGACCATCTAAAATTCTTAGGAATCAATCTCACCCCAAATCTAGCAAACCTTTTTAAAATAAATTATCAAAAAACACTGACTGAAATAAAAAACCTACTACTAGGATGGAAGAGTAAATTCGTATCTTGGTCAGGGAGAATTGCCGCAATTAAAATGATAATTGTACCTAAATTGCAATACTTGTTTAGAACATTACCCATAAAGATACCCTCCACATTCATACGAGATGCTCAACAAACACTACTAACTTTTATATGGGACAAACAAAAAGCAAGGGTAGCGAAAAGCACGCTATACATGCCACGCAAAAAAGGGGGAATGGGAGTGCCCAACTTAGACAGCTACTACAGAGCAGCCATTCTGGGCCCCCTACTAGCGGCTTGCCATCGAGACCACCCAACCCAATGGATGGAACTGGAGGCGCAGCTGTCAGGTATAGCATGGCATGTATTTCGTCGCCGGAACCCACTTCCGGGTTCACGGCGCTCAGCCCCGCCCTTTTTTCTGACGCGGTCCCTCCACGATACTTAGGAAGACCGCGCCAGATTCAAAGGGCTGGATTATTCGCACAGGTGCTGCAGAAAGATCAGCTGCTCTACTTTTGATCCTACCTGCTCCACTTCTAGACCTCGGCTAGTAAAACGGATTTCTACCTTCTCCACTTCTCGACCTCGGCTGTAAACGGATTTCTACCTTCTCCACTTCTCGACCTCGGCTTGTAAACGGATTTCTACCTTCTCCACTCCTAGACCTCGGCTTGTAACTCTGAATTCTACCTTCTCCACTCCCAGACCTCGGCTTGTTAAAACGGACTTCCCCACTCTCCACTCCTAGTTCTCAGCTTGTTGAAACGGACTTCTAATTTCTCCTTCATTGGGTGAATTAACCCTTCCAGTGCCAGAACTGCCTTTAAGTTAAGTAATACTTTTACCAAACAAGCCAATTCCTATTATTTATGTTACACAGTATCTAAAACTCACTAAAGTGTCACTTTGTCTAATTATTCCTCTTATTCATAAGGGATTGCTACAAAGCCTAATTTTTCCTTCATGTGTATTTAAAGGTACAGTGACCATTGTTTCATATCAATATAAAAGGAGGTGAAACTTATTGTTGCTGCAACCAGGAAATTCTGCAGTTGAGTTCCAATTAAAGAAGTATTACAAAATAAATATTACAGAATAATCCAGCCCTATTCAATGGAACCAGCAGATATCAACTCTCAAGTTTCTGCCCTAACCAATAGAGTGGATACGATTGCTCAAGGGTTACAGGAACTGCAAATTACAAATGAGAGAATATTAACCTATGTTAGAGACATTCAAGGTCATCTTCCTCATGCCGCTCTTCAATCGGCTGGTGATCCTGCTGTCTGTAATCCAGAAAAATTTTATGGAGATAGAACAAAGTACAGAGAGTTTTTGAATTCTTGCAAACTACTAATAGCTTTAAAACCTAGATCTTATCCCACCGAAAGATCCAAAGTCTGTTCAGTGATCTCTTTTTTAAGAGGTGAACCTATGGCCTGGGCCCATTCCTTTTTGGAAAATGATGATCCCATATTAGATTCATTGGATGAGTTCTTTGAAGCTATGTCTTTATTATATGAAGATCCTTTTAAACAAACTACTGCTGATTTAACCATCAGAACATTACACCAAAAGAATAGACCTGTTGAAGATTATATTGCAGAATTCAAAAGATGGGCTACAGAAACCCAATGGAATGACATTACTTTACGCAATCAATTCCGTCTCGGATTATCTGAAGCTGTGAAAGATGAACTCTCTCGTACAGAACTTCCTCCTACCTTAAATGCATTGATTCAACTGTCCATCAGTATTGATAGACGTCTAAGAGAAAGAAAAGCTGAAAGGGTTCTTACTAATTCTCAAGAGGAGTAGCTCTGGTACAGAAAAAAAGGAAAAATAGTATTTAGAGGTAAATGGAATAATAAAAGACGCTCGAGCGTTTTTCTTTTTATTTATTTTCACTTTTTCTGTAGCACATAGGTAGTTAGTATGATTCTATGAGTTAGTTAGTATTCTAGTTATTTTGGTTTTTCAGGCAGCCCCTTTTCAGCTCCTTTTTTGGGCTTTATATGTAAGGGTTTTTATTAGGACCCTACTGCCCACAAGATTTGAGCCTGCTTGTGAGAGAAGGGGGGGGATTTTTCTCTCTCTTTGGATTGGTTAGTCTCAAGTATTGCCTGCTTTTGCAAGCTGTGGGTGGTTTAGGGTGGAGTAGGGGTTACCTTGTCTCTGATTTTGTTTCTCTACCCCCTTCATCCCTTTTGCCCATTATTATATGGCATCCTTCCTTTCCTTTCTCCCTCTCTTTTATTATTCCATTTACCTCTAAATACTATTTTTCCTTTTTTTCTGTACCAGAGCTACTCCTCTTGGGATCCCCCTGTTTCAGGGGTCTCCCTTACTCTAATTCATTTCATTTTGGGTTACCCCCTATTTTGTAGCTCTGAAGTAGGCTATCAGGATAGACCACACAGCCTTGCAATCACTTGCAACACTGTGGTGGGATCCTGTAATTCTTACCCTCTTTATATAATTTTCTTACTAATTCTACCTGGAGAAAACCTTTCACTACTCTAAAACTACCTGAAAAAATTCCTCCACAAACTGAACCTATGGAAGTAGGTATAATAAAAAGTCCTCTTACTTCTGAAGAAAGAATAAGAAGGAGACAACTAAACTTATGTATGTATTGTGCTTCGAATGAACATCTAATTTCCGAATGTCCTCTACTGAAACATTCAAAAGGTGGTAAGCTTCATTCATCTACCTCTATATTGAACGTTTTTCAAAAAAGAAAAGCATCTACTTATTTTTCTATATCTCTCATATTACAGTGGGATACAAAAAGAATCGTGACTGAGGCCATCATTGATTCTGGTGCTAATGGAACTTTTCTTGATTTTTCTTTTGTTTCAAAAAATAAAATTCCTTGTGTTCAAAAACCCAATTTTATTCCAATCAGAGTTATTGACGGTTCATTTATATCCTCAGGACCCATCAAAGATGAAACAATCCCTCTAAGAATGATTACCAACAACGTACATTTTGAATTCATTACATTTGATATTATTAAATCTCCACTTTATCCCGTCATTCTAGGAATTAATTGGTTAAAAAACCATGATCCTTTAATTAAGTGGTCTCCCTTCTCCATCTCCTTTGCTTCTGATTTCTGTAAAAAAACGTGCTTACAACACATTCCTTTTCTCCAAACTACTGTAGAACCAGTTATACCTCCATTCTACTCCGATTTTGCAGATGTCTTTTGTAAAAAAGAAGCGGAAACACTTCCTCCTCATCGGGTATATGATTGCCCAATAGATCTCATACCCGGAGCTCCTATTCCTTATGGTCATATTTATCCACTCTCTGAAAAGGAGTTAGAAATTTTAAAAGAATATCTTAATGAAAATTTACGCAAAGGGTTCATCAGACCCTCGACCTCCCCAGCTGCTTCTAGTATTTTCTTTGTGAAGAATAAAGACCAAACCATCCGTCCTATTATAGATTACAGAGCCTTAAATAAAATAACTATTAAAAATCGTTATCCTCTTCCACTAATAAATGAATTAATTGAAAGGTTAAGAACTGCAACTATATTCACTAAACTCGACCTTCGAGGCGCATATAACCTCATTAGAATAAAACAGGATGATGAATGGAAAACCGCCTTCCGGACAAGATATGGTCTCTACGAATATCTAGTGATGCCTTTTGGGCTCTGTAATGCCCCTGCAACATTTCAACATTTTATAAATGATATCTTTAGAGATCTTCTGGATATATGTGTTATTATCTACTTAGATGATATCTTAATATATTCTAACAATTTGGATGAACATAGGAAGCATGTTAGATGGGTTCTATCTAGACTGAGAACTCATAAATTATACGCTAAACCAGAAAAATGCCTTTTTGAGGTTACTGAATTCTCTTTTCTAGGATACATTATTTCACCTCATTACAACGTTTTCTTGGATTTGCAAACTTCTATAGAAAATTTATTAGAAACTATTCGGATGTATCACATCCTCTTAACCTCCTCAACAGTAGTAAACGTCCTTTCAATTGGAATAAAGATGCACAAACAGCCTTCGACGAATTAAAAAAAAGATTTACAACTGCACCTATTCTACAACTACCTAATCCAACATTCTTATATGTTCTTGAAGTTGATGCATCAGATGCAGCCATCGGAGCAGTTCTTTCTCAACAAAAGACTCCACAAGATCCACTTCATCCAGTTGCCTTTTTTTCAAGATCCTTGAGCTCTGCTGAAAAAAATTATCCTATTGGTGAAAAAGAATTATTAAGTGTTAAAGCTGCCTTCGAAAATTGGCGTCATCTTCTGGAAGATACAAAACAACCTATAATAGTTTATACTGACCATAAAAATCTTGAATATCTCTATACTAACAAACCCTTACAGCTAGACAAGTTAGATGGAACCTATTTTTTAACCGATTTAACTTCCAATTAATATACAGACCTGGAACTAGAAATAAAAAGGCTGACGCTCTTTCTCGAATTCCTTCTAAAACTACTACTGATGATTATCCTCCTAACAAAATAATAGGGATCCTCTCTTCTCTTCATGATGACATAAAGAATTTGAATCAGAAGGATCTTGAACTTCCCAAAACACCTATACTAACAAAAAAGGATGGTATATTTTATTTTAAAAATAGAATTTATATTCCTCCCATTCTTAGGAATAAATTACTTAAGATGGTTCATGATTCACCCCTAGCTGGACATCCTGGAATAAAGAAAACACTTGAACTAACTTCACGATATTATTGGTGGCCTCGCCAGGATAGAACCATTGAATTATATGTCAAAACATGTCCTATCTGTCAAAGGTCTAAACCAGAACATAATCAACCTTTTGGATTACTACTTAACTTACCTATTCCAGAAAAACCTTGGCAATCCATTTCTATGGATTTTATCGTTGATCTTCCACCTTCTCAACATTTCACCACTATTCTTGTCGTTGTGGATCGCTTCACAAAAATGTCCCATTTCATTTCTTTAAAAAAATTACCCTCCTCTGTAGAATTGTCTAAGGTCTTTATTGACAATATTGTGAAACTTCATGGTCTTCCTGAAGAAATTATTTCTGATAGGGGACACAATTTACCTCCAAATTCTGGAAAGAGATGTGTCTCTCCCTTCAAATTCAACGCAAACTCTCTTCCGCTTATCATCCCCAAACTAATGGGCAAACAGAAAGGGTTAATCAATGTTTGGAACAATATCTTCGATGTTATTGTTCATACCTCCAAGATGACTGGACCACATGGTTACCTATGGCCGAATTTTCTTACAATAATACCATTCATTCTAGTACGAAAATGACTCCTTTCTTCTCCAACTATGGTTTTCATCCGTCTTCATTCCCCATCCAAACCATTACTTCATCCAATCCTACTGTTACATCAAAAAACGAATTTATGTCTTCTCTATTTCTCAAATTACGGGAGAATCTTCAACTCGCCCAAAATAACCAGAAAAAGTTTTTTGACAATAATAGAAGAATTCCCCCTCCTTACAAGGTAGGGGATCTTGTCTGGCTCTCTTCAAGGAATATTACCACAAGCCGTCCTTCAAAGAAATTGAGCTCTCTTTTTCTTGGTCCCTTTCAAGTAATTACTACCATTAATGATAACGTTGTTAAACTAAAACTTCCTCCAAGTTTTAAACTTCATCCAGTATTCCATGTCTCCTTGCTTAAACCACACATCCCTGATCCTTTTTATAGAGAAATAGTAACAACTCCTGAACCTATCATTGTCCAAGGTGAAGAAGAATATGAAATTCACAAAATTTTGGATTCTCGTGTCCACCGTGGCTCCTTACAATACCTTATCAGATGGAAAGGTTATGGAGTTGATGAAGACACTTGGGAAGATTCATCTAATGTACATGCTAGGAGGTTAGTTACTGCCTTTCACAAACGCTACCCCTCCAAACCGAAATAGTGCACCCAGAGGATGCCCCATGAGAAGGGGGTACTGTCAGGTATAGCATGGCATGTATTTCGTCGCCGGAACCCACTTCCGGGTTCACGGCGCTCAGCCCCGCCCCTTTTTTCTGACGCGGTCCCTCCACGATACTTAGGAAGACCGCGCCAGATTCAAAGGGCTGGATTATTCGCACAGGTGCTGCAGAAGATCAGCTGCTCTACTTTTGATCCTACCTGCTCCACTTCTAGACCTCGGCTAGTAAAACGGATTTCTACCTTCTCCACTTCTCGACCTCGGCTTGTAAACGGATTTCTACCTTCTCCACTCCTGGACCTCGGCTTGTAACTCTGAATTCTACCTTCTCCACTTCCAGACCTCGGCTTGTTAAAACGGACTTCCCCACTCTCCACTCCTAGTTCTCAGCTTGTTGAAACGGACTTCTAATTTCTCCTTCATTGGGTGAATTAACCCTTCCAATGCCAGAACTGCCTTTAAGTTAAGTAATACTTTTACCAAACAAGCCAATTCCTATTATTTATGTTACACAGTATCTAAAACTCACTAAAGTGTCACTTTGTCTAATTATTCCTCTTATTCATAAGGGATTGCTACAAAGCCTAATTTTTCCTTCATGTGTATTTAAAGGTACAGTGACCATTGTTTCATATCAATATAAAAGGAGGTGAAACTTATTGTTGCTGCAACCAGGAAATTCTGCAGTTGAGTTCCAATTAAAGAAGTATGACAAAATAAATATTACAGCAGCATGCTAATAACATACCCATCAATATACTGGCATGGCTTCCCCAGCACAGCAGGCCTACTAAGGCAAACTTGCTCCCAACCACAGCCCTCACTCTGACCATGTGGGACAAGTACTGCCGCACATTGGGCTGGCTGGGCAAAATATCGCCTGCCATGCCCACAAAAACACTACACTATTTAATACCTAATTTTAACTACGCCATATGGCATCAGCACGGAGTAACACACTTACACCAGCTGCTCCAGGAACACACGCTCAGAAGCCTCGCAGACTTAACAGCATGTTATAATCTGACCCCGATGGCATCTTTCCCCTACATGCAGTTGCACTCATGGCTCCGCAAGCAAACTATGACAGGAACTGACAATGTACAGGGGCCACAGCTGACGGTGGTAGAGAAAATATGCTCATGTCTCGCAACCCCCAAAAAACTTATCTCTGAACTATACCAGACTATGCATCCCCCAAAAGACCACAAAAACCGTTCCTTCATTGCCGCATGGGAGAGGGAATTCACGTATGCTCTTGGTGAAAAACAATGGAATGAGATTCTCCTGGCACACAATTCACTCTCCAAATGTGCCTCCCACATGGAACTATCCCGGAAAATTTTATACCGGTGGTACCTAGTACCCACACGCCTAAAAGCCACCTATCCACAGGCCTCCGATATTTGTTGGAGATGTCAACAACACAAGGGCACAATGCTCCACATTTGGTGGGAATGCCCCTCCTTAACACCCTACTGGAATACCATAACCACCATTATCCAAGACAGCACAAAAACGCTACTGCCCCGCAAACCA